CTACTAAAGGCTATAAACTACCCGGCAGAAAAACTTATATACTTAAGGAGTAAGTGTACTTTCCGCCGACTAGGTAATTAACTCTATCCTTACCTATTCGTAGTAAGGCTATATTGCCCCTTTAACTCTATTACATATTACCCCTTTAACTCTATTATATATCCTCCCCTCTATATTAGCTCCTATTAAGGCTAGTATTTATTATTATTCTTACTTTTAGCCTAACCCTTCTTCTTCTAGGAACGGAGGGTTCTCTTCTTAGTAGTACCTAGGGTCGGCTTCTCCTTCTCCTTACGCTATCTCTTAGGGGCGGGGTCTAGGAGGGTCTTCTCCTTCTTTACGCGCTTTCTCTTCTTAGGGATAGGAGCCTACTAGGTAGGCTTATTTCCGATAACGTCTATTATATCGACTTTAGCGTCCGCGATGTATAGCTCTAGGACGAGCTCTTCGTTATCCTTCTAAGGGCTAATAGGTAGGGTGGAGCTAACGCCGTATTCTAACGTGTCTATAACAGACTGTTCGCCTACGGTTATACTAGGGGTTTAAGGAGAGGATTAAAGGAAAAGTTGTCGGTAGATAACTTTTTTAGCTTCGACGCCTACTTAGCCGGGTNTAGGGGTAGATAGCGTAGAGACGGGCGAGGAGTCGGCCGCCTTTCTAGCGCTTAGGTTAACCNGGAATAGTACCTTCTTCTTAACGCTCGCGGTCGTAGCGATTAGAGTGCCGATAGTGCCGGCCTTAAGTGCGGCGAGTATAGAGTCCCTATAAAGAAGGAGNAGTCTAAGGTCGGAGGCGGATAAGCCGGATGTCTTTACGACGACCCTTATAGCCTCTACCTTACTAGCCGACTTACAGGCATTCGCGGCGGCGAGATCCTTAGTCTAGTTAGCTATATATTGCTCCTTCTAAGCCTTCTAGTTCTCGAATTAGCCGCCGGGTAGGAAATCTACTAGGTCGACGTTAAAGTTATCCTAACTTAGGTAGTCGGCACGCGAGCCGATAAGCATTCTNTATATACGGGCAGCCTTTTCGTGTATAACCTAGGATTTGTAGGATAGGTACTTAAGCTGCCAGTCCTTCTCCGGAATTTCCTCGTTACGTATTAGCTGTTTAACCTTATACTACTCGGCGATAAGGCGAGCGGCTCCGGCAATAATCGGGAGTTGCTTTGCCTTAGTCCTAGCTGCGATAACCTAGTCGAAGGTGTTATATATAAGGAGGATAAGGATAAGTGCTTCCTCTTCCTAGCCGATACGTAAGATTCTTAACATTACCTAGAGTAGAGCGGCGGCAGAGGTCGGGAAGTCGATAATAATTATACGAGACGCTACCTAGAAGTTAAAGGCTTAACCGGCGACGGGGATACTACTAACTAGGACACGAATAGGATTCTTCTTNTCGGCGAACTTAGTNNTAGNATCCTTACGCTNCTTCGCGGTCTAGTATNTAAGTGACTTAATAGAGACGAAAGGAATGCCTATNNTNTAGAGGAGCACCTCGATGTCGAATGTGTTTTAAGGCTATATAGTAAAGAGGACTACCTTTCTNTCCTTACGAAGTACCTACTCNTATAGGCATCNNGCGACGANCTTCTTCTTAGATNACTGTAAGCATTAATACGCTACGTCGAGTGCGCGGAAAGCGCTATAGGATNGCAGCTATAGTTCGGGGCGAGTTANACGGTAGTAATACTCGCTTANACGATCTAGCAGCTTCTTCGTNCCTTTGCTACTNCCGAGGGTTTAGGCGAAGATCTTTAACGCGGNATAACCCTTCGTNTAGAAAGTGTCGAGGAGGGAGTTCTATAAGGCTATAGTNAGACGTCGGACTAAGGCCGTNTTNCCGAAACCGTTAGTAGCGGCGTCTTTATCCGCTCCCTCTATAGNAGCGGCGGCCGCNTTAGTNGCNTCTTCGAGATAAATCTCGCGGTACTTAATNCGCTATAAGTATTAAAGTTTNAACTCTATAACCTTTACCNNGGNAGGGGGGATTTCGGCGNATAAGATCTAGTAGGGTCTAACTTAGGTNAACGAACCCTAAGCGNNGGNNATTAGGNATAGGTAGAATATAGGTAGGATAATCGCNGCACCGACGCCGGCGTTATTATAAGCACCNGAGCTCTCTACCTACCTAGCGAGATAGGCGAATCTCTNNGGGTTTAGGACTTTAAAGAACTTAGAAAAGTTGTCCGANGATAACTTTTNCTCGACAGTTATGCCCTTAAAGGCATCTNTTATGTNACTTATCGACTGGACGTAATTATNCGGATCGTCGTCGCTAGCGAGGTCGTCGTAATAGTCGAGGTCTATNTCGGGTCTAACGATAACACTTAGGAGGCCNNAGAACTATAATAGTCGGTTCGAGATTAGTNTGCTAGTTAGNAGGATTACCGCATTAGCGTTAGTCTCTACTACNGCCTTATACGCCTTAGTACGAGTACCCTTAATGNAATATNCCTCGTTAACTACGACTNTNCNGAACTTNCCCTAATAATAGTGTTCCTAGTCGGCTGNATTATTCTCGTTTATAGTCTCTATTACCTCGTCGTCTATATCCTCGCGGTAAGCGTCGACGTTTTTAGCCCCTNCGTTAGCCCTNTTTATACGCTTAACGCCCTCCTTCTGCTTTACGCTCNNGTGCGCCTAGGTCCCGANAGTTATAATATAGANATAGCGCTCGGTAGAAGGGTCGTAGGGGTCGAGGGAGGCGACGTGTTCCTTTAAGTCTTCGATCTTGCTNCCGATCGTTCGTAGCCGCTCGTGCTCGGCTGCCGTAGAAGGGGNGTTAAAGAAGTAGTAGACGAANAATTCTTCCGAGAAGTACTTTAGCGNATTACCCTTCTAAGGAAGAAGGGCCCCGGAGGGTGCGATAATAAGTGTAGGCTTATACTCNATTCTATTAAGGATGCTAGAGCGCTNATTTCGCTCGGNATAGCGGGCGCCGGCGANAATAGTNCTATANATAGAGATAGTCTTACCGAGGCCTATCTCGTTAGCGAGGATNGCGGNATANAGTGCCGACCTCTCTATTATACGNAGNATAGCGACACCGGTNACCTAGTNCGACTTAAGTCGAAGCTCCTTAGTGAACTATAGCTCTACGTAAGGTCTTAATGCGGCTAAGAAGGCTAGGCGATCGGTTCTATAGAGGGTCGGATCTATCTCGGGGAGGGTCTCCTTTAACAGCTTAAGGTATACGTAAGCTTCCTCGAAGGTCGGCAAAGGGGTGCTCGACTTAACAAGACCTTGCTAGAACTCCAGCTTT